GACGGTGGCTAGAAATGGTCGCCGTGATGGCTAAGCATCGACCACAAAGTTCTGGTTTTTCCCCAACCTTCTCTGTCGACGCCAGCACGTTAATCGGTATAGGTCTTGAATGAATGCGCGTTCTTAAAGAGCACCCTTCAGACCGTCACTGATAATTAGGTGAGGACACTTGGACGAGGAGGCGCATGGAACTGTCGCAAACAAATCCGGTTAACCGTTGCTGGCATGGCTGGTCTAGGGATTCGCTCATTAGAAAGTTCAAAGAATCAAACACCACTAAACCGCACTAGAACCTTTTGACATGGGATGCTCAACAACTAAAATCCAAAACAACAACAATTAAATTAATCCAATTTGATCAACGCCTTCCATAACTGAAAACACGGACAGGTTTTCAGCATCCAATGTACGCGCTTAGTCTCACCAACTCGTCTCTAGAAAGTGGTCTCATTTTCAATCAGCTACACTCAGTTGATCATGAAAAACAAACAACAAACAGCCAGTGGTTGCTCCAATCGTTAGACGGCTTTAGCAAAATCATTAGAGGGTAGGGAAACATCACATCTCACGACATTTTGCCTTATTCGGATAAGCATCTCTGCGGCCATCTCATTCTGCAAGGTGCAGCTCAATAGCTCCGAGGCGCAGCGAAGCGTTGCAAATGCTGTCACATGCGCAGCACTTGCATCAGACCTAATAGATTCAACCTGTCAAGGCTGCAAAACGTCAAGTCAACTATCTCCTTGTATATTCAATACTTCAACTCTACTAACTGATGAGCCATGGGGTTGACGAAATACAGTACGTATCCAAGAATTAGAGGGGGCGTGGCTGCGCGGGTCCAGACGGGAGAGAGGCATAAGCGTCTGTACAATAAAGGAAAGTCGGAACGAGAATAGGCAGCCGTCGCTGGGATGCCCTTTTCGCCTTTCAATATGGAGTGTAAATGGTTCACTTGAGGAAACGAAAAAGTGAACCACCTATTCTTCAGTCATTTATTACTCATTTCAAGTGTTCCCCTTGAAATACTATTTTTTCCCCTTTTTGGTGGGTAATGTCACCTGCTGCTTTGCCCAATGCCGCGTCTCGCATGTCCTGAACTAACTCCAGTTTGCAACATTCCCATACATATCAGGGTACAGCGTGGGGAAGGGTTGAAATAAGGGCAGTGTCAGTACGACTGCTCTCTCACAAACGCTACTTACGTGGGCTGCTACCAAATTCTCCCAAATTCCTAACACTCATAAAAAATTTTAGTGGTTTGTTCTGGAAACAAAAAAAAACTAATGTCGTGCGGTGGTGGAGGGTATCGCGGAAAGAATCGACAGAGGGAACATTTTTTAGGAAAGTAACAAAAGCAGGAGTGAAAATATGACCCCGTGATGGATTGATGCTGTGCCCTGAATGATACTGATACTGATTTTACTAACACCATTACCTCGTCCTTTTTTTGGAAATGTCCATCTAGGTGGCTAATTTTGTTGATTATTTCGTTTTTTTATTGGTGCAGGCTGATAATAAACGTCGCAGTTGAACAACTCACCATTACTCATACTCTTCTGGCTGTTCGATGGCGAAACACCTCGATAATCGAGCTGACTTGCGCGACTACCAAACTGCTGCTGGGCTGACAAGCCCGGTGGAATCACAAAAGCAGACATCGCACGATCTCCACCGCGTTGAGCTGAAAATTTAAAAATCAAAGAGTGTAATTTTGAGAAATAATCTGACATCAAAGTAGGGAACAGATCATGGGTGGAACATAGCCTCAGGGTTAAAAAAAATTATAAGGCAGTGCAGACACTGCAGAAGAATAGCCAGCACACATACGTAGGGCACGTCCTGCCGTTAATGGAAAATTTGGCGCAGTTCGGCGACGATGGACATTTTGTACTATCAAAGCTTCTCCAGCTCCGGTTTACAGTCCTCATCAATGCGGACCGATGGGGCGTGTCGCAGTATGAGTGTGCACACGGTGAAGCCGCATTCTTCAGCTTTTGATTGAAAGCGTATGCCCGACAAAAAGTGGTAGAAAACGAGTAATACGGAGGATATAATACAGTCATATCATTTGCTCGCTTTAAATACTGGTGGAGAGCGGGTTTGGCACCGCGCCAAACGCAGCCGCACTGAACCGCCCCGACAGTTACGTGAATGATGAGGAGCTGTTCACAAGTCTCACTCTGGTGAAACCTGTGAACTCTTGTGAAGCTGGAGCAAGCTCGTCAAGCCACCATGGTAAAACCTGTCAACTCAAAGGCTCTCTAGATAGGTCGACACGTTGATGAGAAGTAGCAAAAGTGCAAAATGCCCCCGACCCCTGTCGCCGCACTGCTCCGGAATTTTCTGCAAATCCTCCTCCTAGTTTGCCCTGGTCCCCCTTCTTACCTGCAACCCTTCTGAATTCCCCGAATTCCCAACCACTTTTCCAAAAAATCCCTCTGTTTCCCATTAAACAAGCTCTGTCGGGGTTGAGTATAGCGTACAGGTAAAGGAGAAAAACCAAGAACAGTTCAAACCAGAAACATCTTTCTTAAGGACAAATATTATCCTCCTTTTGGGGTTCTCCAACCTACGACCTGCTCTGAGAAGTAAAGCACATGTAACCACTGGGTTAAAGAAGAAATGCGATTAATGCATCAGAGGAGTAGGTGTGAGTGCTGCATACTAAAGTAGAAAGACGATGGAGGCGTTGAAATTTGAGAGGGAGACGCATCTAAGAAAGCTCCGGTTGGTTCCAATGTATCCGGATCCATGGGAACAACGTAACAACCACAGACAAAACCCGTCTCCGAGGGGAACTACGCTTGAAAGAGGGCAATTCTCCACTCTATCGCACCCGACGACAATCGTTGCTAATTCATAGGAAAACGTGTTCCTCATACAACCGCAAAGAAATCTGCTTGAATCTTGTACACCAGAATTATATGTCTTCCAGCCTCCACAGGTACGTAAAAACAGCGATCCGGGTTCTTATAGGAGAACACGTACACATCACACATGCATGGACGCTGAACTAAGTGTTACAAATTGCAGGGGCAATTCGGCGCTGGAGGGGAGGGCGGGGGGGGGGGGGGGGAATCAGCACTTTTGCTACTTCCCATCGACGTCTCGACCCATCTAGAGAGCCATTGTCGTGAACTTACAATAGCTGACATGTTTTACCATGATGGCTCGACGAACTTCCCACCTTCACATGTTTTATCAGAGGACTTGTAAACTAGGAGTAGTGAAGCAGCGAAAATGCCCCCCCCCCGTCGATAAAACGGCACCTAAATTCATCATGCGAAGCAGAATGTCCAGAAAAATGAAGACCAAACAGGGCTTGTTCTTCAGGAACTCTGAATAATGCGGAAGAAACCCTTCAAAGAGTCCCTCAATGGCGGGTTTTTTTGCTTTCCCAAATTCGTGACTAAAAGCTGAACCTCAGTGATGAGAAAATAGGAGCCACTGCAGTACAAGGTAGGAAACAGTCAACAACATTCCCAAAGCATAGCGATAGTTACTCGACATCATTTAATTAGCCTTCATGTGAAAAAGTTGCGTAGAATGCGAGGAATTTAATGAATCGGTGGAGAATAGTGGTCATACGTGCTCTTTCTCAAGCCAACCACCGCCGAGGAACTCTCAAGGAGGGAGGGAGGAAGGGTCATACTTAGAAAAAGTTCCCTCATTTGGATGATCCATTCTGCTTTCCCTTTAATTCATATCCCTTTTGGGAATAATTGTCTTTGAAAGATGCCGTGTGGGACGAGGAAGCAGAACATTGAAAGAAGGTGAAAGTGTAGATGCTATCTGTTGATTCGTGCTCGAATCAATACACTGAGTTCCGCTCTCCCAGCAGTTTTCGGGAAGAATAAAACACCATCTTGTTTTCGGGATGTCTTTCAAGAGGGCCTTCATCGACCGAACAAACTTACCGCTAACGGGTCCGACGGCTTCTCGCTGATGCACGTGACTCTTACGCGAGGCGCTGCTCATAAACTGCTCCGCCAACGGAGCCGAAGAGATCGAGCGTTGGTGGTAAGCGTTCTTCTGAGCAGGAACTCCACCGTATAGCACGTTCTGCATATACCGGGAATCCTAAAGAGAAAGCAACAGATATTTTCTCGTAATTCTAGAGATTAGTGAAGAAGTTCTGCAACGATGAAGAACCCTACCTGGTAGTCCCGTTTATCAGGTGGCGCAGGCGTTGTCGGCGTCGGTGTTCGCGTACTGCTTCCAAACGACGTCCGAAGACGTTGTTGAAGGATTTTACAGCAAGCTGGAAGGAAAATCATGTAGGATCAAAGACTGCTTGTTTGGAAAAAAAATCATTTTCGAGGGAAGATGTTCAGGTATTTCGAGGAAATATCGATCTATAAGCGATTGGAGAAGGAAATCGGTTGAGGAAGCGCCGGCTAGACCTGTTTGCATTTCAAACTGTGTGACTGGCACCATGCTACGTGATGATTGTCAAACAGAATGATTACTGAGAGAAGCACAGTACTGAAATGCGATTTCAGCCAAGTATTTCTTCAAACCGCAATTTTGACAACAGATAGGCGAACTTGAGGTAAACAGCAATCGCTGAGTCATTCACTCGTCTTCATAGTTAGAGGAAAACGGTTTTCGCGGGAAGCGGATGAAGTACAGGTTAGAGAACCCCAAATGAGTGGATCACAAGAACTCCGGGTCCAAATATCGAACAGGGCGTCGACGACGACTACGAGAGCGTATGCGACGGATAACCGCCCACTTTCTGAGACTGCGGTACTTATCCAAAACTTCACGCCGTTCCAAATTCATCTCGTCAGTCCTCAAACATCGAGCTGTACTTTACGCAGTAGTGCTTGTTAAGCTGTTCAGAAATCTAAAAGCCTATGCAAGCACAATAAAGGCAGCTGGCACGAGAAATCCCTAAGGAGTAGAATTAATACGCCTGGCAGAACGGAATTCCGGCCCCTGAGTAGGAGCTGTATTGCGCCGTCTAAAAGAAGGGTTCTAGTATAAAGTCCCATCAAGCTGCAACATACAGTCCTCATCATTACGGACTGTCGGGGCGGCACAGCCGCGCTGCAATGTGACGCGACAGCGGCTGCGGCTCGGTGACGGCGAATCAGCTGATTCCATGGAACTCGGCTGCGAATTTCCACTTTTTAACTCTTCGAGCTTCGAAAGTGAAAGGTGAGTTATTTTAAGCAATTTTAAATTGTACTGACTCTGAATGAATCTGAAAGAATGCAAGCCATTTGAATAAATGCCTGAAATAAGGCAAAATACAAGGAAAAGAGCATATAATCGACATAAAAATAAAGGAAATCAGAGCCAGTACAATTCAAAATTGTTCAGAATAACTCACCTTCCACTTTAGAAGCTTGAAGAGCTGAAAAGTAGGAATTTGCAGCCGAATTCCATCGAAATCAGCTGATTCACCGTCACCGAGCCGCAGCCGCTGTCGCGTCACAGTGCAGCGCGGCTGTGCCGCCCCGACAGTTCGTAATGATGAGGACTGTACCGATACGGCGCACCGCGCACTGATTATTGGCAATATGCTTACGGGAATCAAGATTTTGACTGTTGCACTTAATTAATTTTTGCCTTGTTTTCACTATTTAGCACCTTGCTAGCATTTTAGACCGAGTGCCAAACTATCGAGCCATATGCCTTTGAAAATTTCGGAACCACTCACTTTTCCCATCCGCGATCTTTCCAATAGTCATTGTCATTCGGGAACATTGTCGTCGGATCAAAGAAGTCATCTGTGGAATAGAACTCGGCGCAACACAGTGATGTCATTTTCGATAAAAGCTCCTGCATTTTCGCGACGAGATCCGCCACACGAGAGCCTCTTATATCATGCCAAAATAGCTCTTCAACCTAAAAACTATCTATCGCCTAATTTTCGACGAATTCCTGGGTTTACTTCAACACCCTTATCCGGCCCGCACACGAAAAACCTAAGGCTGCGTTTATACTTTGCGGCAGCGTAGCGTAGCGCTTCCAGCGTACGCCAGCGGCAGTGCTGGGGAGAGGATGCATATCGATCTAGCGTTCCCAGCGTCACCAGCGTCACGCTAGCGTACGCCAGCGTTTCTCCAGCGTTTCACCAGCGTTTTGCTAGCGTTTGCAGCGGCAGGGAGTAAGGGACTATGTGGCCGTAAGAGACTCGGGATCGGCGTGTATTGTAGAGACTATGTGGCCGTCAGAGACGCGGAATCGATGTATTGTAGAGACTATGTGGCCGTCAGAGACGCG